ATTTATTAAAGAGGCTGTCTTTCTGAATGTGTTTGGCACCTTGGTCAAAGATAAGATGGCTTAGTGTGTCTGCAGTTGTTTCCGCATCTTTAATCTAGTCTAATGATCATCAGGTCTGGTTTTTTTTTTTTTGTTTGTTTGTTTTTTGTTTGTTTGTTTTGCCATTCCCCCCGCTGCTTTATCACAGTAGCTTTATAGTATAATTTCAAGTCAGGGATTGTGATGCCCCCTACTTTGTCTTTGTTGCCCAGGATTGTCTTTGCTATTCTAAGTATCTTCTGGTTCCAGATGAATTTTTGAATTGTTTTTGCTAATTCTGTGAGGTATGCTATTGGAATTTTGATTGAGATTGCATTGAATCTGTATAACAGTTTTGGAAGTATGGCATTTTCACTCCTATTGGTTCTCCTACTCAAGAGCTTGAGATATCTCTCTATTTTCTAATATTCTCTTCAATCTCCTTGTTCAGAGCACTGTAGTTTTCAATGTAGAGGTCTTGTACATCCTTCATTAGATTAGTTCCCTAGGTATTTCATTTTTTGAATGCTATTGTAAAATGAATTGTTTCCCTGATTTCTCTCTCAATGAGTTTGTTATTTGTGTACAAGAAGGCTATTGATTTTTGAGTGTTGACTCTGTAATCAGCTGTTAATTAATTTGCTTATTAAATCTAGTAGTCTTTTGGTGGGGTTTTTGGGGTCTTCTAAATAGGGTATCATGTCATCTGCAAATAATGATAGTTTAACTTTTTCCTTTCCTAGCATATTCCTTTTATTTCTTTCTCTTGTCTAATTGTTCCAGCTAGAGTTTCCAGTTGAATAAGAGTAGACAGTGAACATCCTTGTCTTTCTCCTGATTTTAGAATAAAAGTTTTCAATTTTTGTCTATTTAGAATGATGTTGGTTGTTGATTTATCATAGATGGCCTTTATCAGAGTGAGAAGACCATCTATTTCAATTTCTGTAGGGTTTTTATCATGAATGGGTATCATGAATGGGGACCTTGTCAAAAGCTTTCTCTGCATCTGTTGAGATGATCATATGATTTTTGTCCTTGCTCTGTTAATATGGTATGTTACATTTATGAATTTACATATGTTGAACTATCCCTACATCCCTGGAATGAATCCCATTTGATCATAGTGTACAATCTTTTTGATGATTTGCTGCAGTCTGTTTGCCAGTATCTTACTGAGGATTTTTGCATCAATGTTCATTAGGGAGTCAGCCTATAATTCTCTTTCTTAGTTGGGTCCTCCATTGGTTTTGGAATCAGAGTAATGCTTGATTCCAGGAATGAATTTGGGAAGATTGTTTCCTTTTCAATTTCATTAAAGAGTTTGAGAAGTAGTGGTGTTAGGTCTTCAGTAAATTTCTTGTAGAATTCAGCAGTGAAACCATCAGGGCCTGGGCTTTTCTTTATTGATAGGTTTTTAATTACATTGATTTCACTTCTTGATATTGGGTTATTTAGTATTTTTATATCTTCTTGATTCAGCTTTGGTAATTCATATGAATCTAAAAATCTGTTCATTTCTTCTGTATTTTCCATGTTGTTAGAATACAAGTTTTTGGGGCTGGGATTTAGCTAAGGAGCATAAGCACCTGCCTTGCAAGCAGGCAGTCGTGAGTTAGATCCCTGGTACCGATAAAAACGAAAAAGACAAAAAAAAGAATACAAGTTTTCAAGTAGATATAAATGATTTTCTGGATTTCTGCAGGGTCTCTTGTGATTTTGCCATTTTCATTCCTAATTATGAGAATTTGAGTCTTTTCTTTCCTTTTTTTTTTTTTTTTTTTGATAAGTTTGGCTAAGGGTTTGTCCATTTCATTTAATATTTCAAAGAACCAACTCTTTGATTCATTGATTCTTTGTATTTTTTTGTCTCCAATGTGTTAATTTCTGCTCTGATCTTTATAATTTCCTCCCTTGTATGAGCTTTTGGTTTAATCTGCTCTTTTTCTATTTGAGATTCAATATTGAGTTATTTATTTGTGCTTGCCTGTTTGCCTGATATTTACTGCTATAAATTTTTTTATATTTTCCTCTTAACACTGCTTTCATTGTGTCTCACAAGTTCCAGTATGTTGTATTGTTATCATTCAAGTGTAAAAACTGTCTAACTTCTTCTTTAATTTCATCTATGACCCATTGGTTGCTCAGTAAGGGTACTATTTAATTTCCATGTGTTTATGAAGTTCTTGTGGTTTCCTTTGGCATGGATTTTCAATTTCATTGCACTGTGGTCTGATAGTATACATGGGATAATTTCATTTCCTTTAAATTTATTTTAGCATGTTCTATGTTCTATTTTGGAGATTGTCCCTTGTGCACCTGAGAAGAATGTGTATTCTGATGTTGTGGGGTAGAACACTCACTCTATAGACATCTACTAAGTTCACTTGCTCAAAAGATTGATTTAGTTCTAATATTTCCTTATTGATTTTTATCTAGTTGATCTTTTTGTGACAGTGGAGTATTGAGATCGCCCAATACAATTGTATTAGTGCTTATTTGATTTTTCATGTCCAATAGTAATTGTTTTAGATAGCTGGGTCCCCTGGTATTTGTTGCATATATACTTATTATTGTTATCTGTTCTTCTTGGATTGTTCCCTTCATGAGGATGTAATGACCTTCTTTATCTCTCTCTCTCTCTTTTTTTTTTTTTTTTTTTTGTCTTTTTCCTTTTTACCGGTACCAGGGATCGAACTCACGACTGCCTGCTTGCAAGGCAGGTGCTTATGCCGCTGAGCTAAATCCCCAGCCCCTTTCTTTATCTCTCTTAATCAATGGTTTGAAATTCACTTTGTCTGCAAATAGAGTATCTATCCCTGCTTTTTTCTGGATTCCTGTTGCATGGAGTATTTTCCATTCTTTGACTTTCAGTCTATGAATTTCTTTTTCAGTTAAATGTTTCTTGTATGCAGCATATTGTTGGATCTTGCTTTTTGATACGTCCTGCCAGTTTGTCTTTGACTGGTGAATTGAGACCATCAACATTGATGGTTAAAACTGATATATATTGACTTATCTTTGTCATGTTATTTTCCTGTTGTTGGCTCCCTTTTTTTTATTCCCTCTGTTTGCCTTTCCTGATGGATTCCTTCTATTGGGGTTCATGGAGCTTTGTCCTTATTATCTTTTTCTAGAATGTCCTTGAGAACATTTTGAAGTGCTGATTTGGTGGTCATAAATTTCCTCAGATGTTCTTTGTCATGGAAGTGTCTTATTTCTCCAACTTTGAAAGATAGTTTTGTGGGATACATTCGTCTGGGTTGAAAATTGTTTTTCTTTAGAACTTGGAGTACTTCACTCCAAGCTGTCCTTGACTTAAGATGATTTGGCCTAGTCCCTTTTTTTGGGCACTGAGCCACTGTCTTTTTCTGTGACCCTTAATCTCAGTCACAGATTATCAGAGTCAACAGCTGTTTAGAACAATTATGTCAGTTGTGGCTGTAGTGGTACCAATAGCATCATACACAACTGCCAGCCAGTGCAGTCCTCCACATCCACCACTCCCCTCCACTGCCACGTGTCTTTGCAGAGGCCTCTGGGGTAACCAACTGACACCATCACTGTGTACCCTACATCCCCAGATTCCAACAGTTCTCTCATGCAGTGAGTCTGGCTCCAGCTCCAGGCACAGGCACCGCCACCTTGTTCTTCATTGACATTTTTCTTTTTACTTTTTACTCTCTCTGTGGGCTTCAGTTCACACTTCAGACTCTTCTTGGGTCCAGGGAACCCACTTCCTTCCTCTTTATTTTCATCGTGATGTTATAGTCTAGTCTGTCTTCTCTGCTGCTTACTCCAACATTGATTTTAGTGACAAAAAGTCTTAGCCCAACTTTCAGACTATGTGAGGATTATTCTGACAGCTTAAAAATTACATTCAGGGCTGAGGATTTAGCTAGGCAGCTCAAGCACTTGCCTGATAGGCATGAGGTCATGAGTTTGGTCCCTGGTATCAAAAATAAATACATAAATAAATAAAAATTACATTCAGTGGACACTTTTCTCCCATAAATACTCCCTACACCTTTTGCTTTCTTGGCCAATAGCAAGGTAGAGGTCTCTTCACTGCTTGGGATGTGCCCAAGGTCTCATGGTAGAGCAGGCAGAGTGAATGGGGCTGCACATTTACTGCTGATATCCCTGAGATGGGCATTTACTGGGCTGTTGCTGGTGGCTCATATAGTTCTGACCAAGAACAGGGTGATGGAGAAGGCCCAGAATAGCCAGTTGCATCAGCTTTATGGGGGTAGATATGCTCCCTTATAATTCAAGTGAGTCTCCTCTCAGGTCCTGTAGCTCAGTGATGGCAAACCTTTTAGAATTTTTGATAACAAACTGCTCTGTGTGCCATAGGTTCTCCATTACTGTTCTAGCTCATTCTTAGGTGCCATTTTGAGGAATGTGCTGATTGAGGGGGGAAGCAGAAGCAGACACCCCTTTGTGAGAGGCCTAAAGAGGGATTGTTTCCCCAGAGGCCTGTAGCTACAAGAATGACTGAATTTGTACTGAACATTGGGCTGACCATTAAGTGCTGCCAGCTGCCCTGAAGCTCAGACCACCCTGCTTTCATCATTCTCAGCTCAGCCCATGCTGAAGGACAGCAGTCCATTAAGCAAAGCCATAGACAAACCAATGGTGGTGGAATGGCCTTTGGGGCATGAGATTAAGAGCCCCATCCAGCGACTGAGAGGGGAGACAGGCATTGGAACACACTGAAGATGAGAGCAGGGGAGTAAGGGTAAGACAGTGATGCCTGACAAACCTTTATTCTGTATATGGCAGGACTCCAGCTGAATCAAAACAGCCCTAACCCAGGTGGAGCTCAGAATGTGTGACCTACACCAAGTGTAACGGTGGAAGGAAGGGGGCTCAAATATTCCTGTACCTCCGTGTATGAGGAAACATACAGGGCTGAGGAAGAGGATCTAAAGTCTGTATGTGAGAGGGAAGGGGTGAAAAAAGCAGTGGTAGATCACGACAAATATCTTCTCCAAAGCACTTTAATGCACAGTAACCCACAGTCCTTGACTGTTGGCTAGGCAGGAAAGCCAGCCCCACCTTGAGGCTCCCACAGCTTCCCATGCTCAGTGGTCCTGGGAGGGCTGAGTCTGTACACATTCCCATCAGTAGGTGAGGGGCGTGAGGATGAAGAGGCGGTCTTCCTCCTTACGGATCCAGCGCATCAGCTTATGGATGGCACTGACAGCTGATGCCTTAGTCCCCAGAGGGCTGTAGCACATGTAGAGCTCAAAGGCGCCTGTCACCTGGATGAAGGGGCAAAGGGTGATCATCTAGGACAGATGCCCTTTGAGGCCTCTACCCAGAACCTCCACAAAGCCCAGCCCATCCAGGGCTACCTTACCCAGGCTAGGAGGTTCTCGTTGGGGCCTGTGTAGTAGATGGTCTTGAGTGGGCGGGAAGCATTGTGGGCTCGGCTGTGCAGGTACTGGTAGAGCCCTAGTAGTCGCTCCTGTTCCTCTTCACTGGTGTATGGGGCCTCAATCTCAGGACTACAGGATGGGGGAGTGAATTTGCAAAAGGTATGACTTCTATTGCCTCCTCTGAAGATCTGGAAATACCTATTTCTCACCAGTGAGACCCTACTACATGTCTCATTCTCTAGATGCTTCCCTAGGTCAGGGCATTGTCTTTCCACTACAGAAGTATCGCTGGGAGGGACTAGTACCCTGTTCCCTCCCACTCCCCAAGTTCATGGTGTCTTTGGGGACCCTTCATTGGAAAGACCAATCTGAATTTCAGCATCCCAGAGAGAGTGACAAGCCTAGAATATAGAAAGGTCTAGGAAAACTTCTGGGCCAAAAAGAGGTTAGAAGTTGGCACTTCTGAACAGATCATTCACTGGGAAAGTGGATGAGGGAAGGCTCTGCATCCTGGGCTAAGCCAAAATGATCCCTAAGACAGGTACTCCAGGGCAAAGGACCTGGGAGAGCTCTCTTCCAACTTCTTCCCTAGGCATATTGGTCATTTCTAGCTTTAAGGGCAATGAAGTAGAGAAGTGAATGCCTGAGGAGTAACGGGAAGTCTGGGTCTCTGGTATCAGAGTAAAAGAGCCCCCAACATATTGGTTCACTCCTCCTACACGTGTGGTTATCTTCAGGGCTAAATCCTCTAGCTAAAGACCAACCAGGCTGCCCTTCCCATATCTGTTTCCCTGAAGCATGCCCTCCCTCACCTGGTGAAGAGTCCTGAACTCTTGGACTTATAGAGGAAGTGGCGCAGGTCAGGGATGCCCACTTGGGCAACGCTGTAGCAAGGTGTGCGCAGTGCATCCCGCAGCATCAGGTGGGCTCCGCGCTTGCGAAGGCGTTCCTGAAAGCGCCGGCGGCAGTCAGAGACAGCAAAGAAGTCCTCTCGGTCCGTGGAGATGAGCAGCAGGCAGAGGTCAGTGTCGGGCTCCAAGTATGAGATGTGTGCATGAAAGAAGCCTGCCGCGTTGAACTTGGGCAGGCACACTGGTGTCCACGCCTCACCCTCACGGAAGGACGAGGAGGAACTGATGAGGTTGAAGAGTAGGTGCAGATCAATGGGATGCAAGAATTGGTCCTTGCGGCGCACGAGCGCTACAAGTTGATTGTGGGCCACCAAGATGGAGAAGACCAGGCTGCGCACACGCGCCTGCTGCAGGCTGGCACTCACGGCGTCCCGCACAGCCGCGGCCAGGGGCAGACACCTCGCCGCCCCCATCAGAAAGCTGGGGTCTCGCGCCATGAGCTGCAGCAGGTTGTCGGTGATGCGCTCTGAGCCCGAAAGCAGGCGCCGTAGATCGTAGTTCTGCTTCTGCTGGAAGATGTGGCTCAGCTGTGCACCCGTGAGAAGGCTCAGGATCTGATAGTAGATGTAGAGCAGCTCTTGTGCTAGCTCTTGTGCCGACTGCCGCGTACGTGCCACTGCCACCAGCACCAGTGGGCTCCGGCGGACGAACACCACCTTGTAGCCATCTAGGGGCAGAGGAGGGTATCAGCCCCAGCCCCTTCCTCAGGAGCCTCCCTAGCAGGTCCTTTCTCTCCTCTGCCAGCTCCGGACAGCTCTTGGCTGACCACATCCTCTCCTGGCTGGGAGCTCTGTACTCTGCAGGAGCTTAAGGGGTTTGGAGCCACTGCCCCCTTTCTCTGTCACTGGCCTCACAGATTGACCCCCTCAAAAATACAAAAAGGTAATCACTATGTATAGCTAAAATGTACCAATAGAAGTTGATTTTTTTTAGCCGGGCATGGTGGCTCACACCTGTAATCCCAGCACTCGGGAGCCTGAGGTGGGAGGAACGCTGTGAGACCACCCTGGACTACAAAGTGAGCTCAAGGCCAGCCTGAACTGCATAGCGAGACCCCATCTCAAAAAAAGACAAAAAAAAAAAAAAAAAAAAAAAAAAGAAGAAGTCGATTTTTTTTTTGGTCTTTTTCGTTTTTATCGGTATCAGGGATGGAACTCACGACTGCCTGCTTGCAAGGCAGGCGCTTATGCCGCTGAGCTAAATCTCCAGCCCCAGAAGTTGATTTTTTAAAAAAGGCAGGCTCTAAAGAAAACCACAAACACATTCTTATGTGTGGTAACTCTGTTGGCAAGGGTTAGGAGGTCTAGGGACCAATTTGGTTTTCGTTGTTTTTTGGCACCTCCCCAGGCATTTCTCACCACTTCTAACAGCAGGGCTCATGTCAGAGCCCCACACATCCCCATGAGGCCGCTGACAGTGCTGCTATCCTATATTTGGATGAGGACCTTGAGGCTCAGAAGGGTAAAGAACTGACCTCCTGGCACAGCACATCCCTCTTCTGGTCTGTGGGGATCCAAAACCTGCTCTGAAGTAACCCTGGCCAGTGGAGCTCTCCCTGCTTCCCTCTTCAGGTAGCTCACCTGCATGAATGGAACGGATGGCATTCTTGTCTGCCTCCAGGAAGGAAACTAGGGCCACCATGACACCCATGGTGCTGGAAAGTGCTTCCTCAGAGCCATGGCGGGAGTAAACCGGCTTCCCTGCTTCACTCAGCACGAAGACGTGCTTCTGATGCAGGCGCCATGCCTCTGTGGCATCCTGTTCATCCCCTTCACTTGTGCCATCCTCTGGAGGCTCTTTAGCTGGACGACTGGTTGTACCAGGGGGTCCTGGCCAGTCCTCAGAGCTTCCAGGCAGCATCTCCTCCTGCAGGTCACGGGCCACGCCTGTCAGCTGGGTACTTAGCTCACTGAAGTCCTGGCTGATCTGACGCATGTCAGTGGGCAGTGGCGGGGGACTCCCAGCACCCTCCTTGGAGCTGTCACCGGAAGCTGGTCCATCCTCTGACTCATTCAGGTCTTCATAGGAATAGGCATGGACAAACATGGCACCCTCCTGCCCAGCACCTGCAGGCCAAAAGTGCTGGTGCTTAGAGGGCTAAGTTTAGGGTTAGAGTACCTGTTGGCAGGTACTCTTTTGAAGGTGCCTAATGTGGCCCTTCTAGCATGGCCACCTGCCCTGATAGGACCGAGACACTTTTCCCTTCAGCTACTCTGCATGGTGTCTGCAATTTACAGATCCATCTCCTCCCATCACACCTTGAGTAAGACTCAGCCATTGTGGCAGCAGGTATATGCCTACCTCTCTCACATTTATCTTGCAGCCCATCCCCTTGCCCATCCTTTGCCCATCCCAGTCACACTGGCCTTTGTTCATGTGTTTTTTGGACACCCTTAACATGCCCCAACTTACCTTAGGAACTCTGTACCTACTTTTTGCCTCAAAAGCACTCCACCTTTTCACAAGGCTGGCTGCCTTTCATACTTCAGCTCTTGGGGAAAATGTTATCTCTTTTACCTGACCCCAAAACCAGGTACTCCATTCTCTCTCTCTCTCTCTCTCTCCTCTCTGGTATCCTCTGGGAAGCTTGCAAGCTATTGTTTGTCTCCCCAAATGTAACAGGAATCCTCAAGGGCAGTCTGCTGTGTGCCTATCACCTCTCCCCATGCCTGAAGCACCACCCATACTTGGTGAATCTCTCTGGGGGAAGCTCCCCTACTCACTCAGGAGCTCTTGATGGACTCCACTGGCCTGTGGCTCCTCCAGGACAGGAATAGATAGACCCAGGGCTCTGAGAGAGCTACACAAGCACTGCATCACTGGATTACATCTCCAGGCCCCATCACTTATTTTCTTTGTTCTCTCTCTCCCTTCCTTTATTTTCCTTTTTTCTTTTGTGATACAATGGATTGGACAGAGGACCTTGTGCATACTAGGCAAGTGCTCTACCACTGTGCTACATCCCCAGCCCTTAGAAAATATTTTTTTATTTTGAGACAGGGTCTAAGTTGTCCAAATTGGTCTTAAACTTGTGATCCACCAGCCTCAGCCTCCTGAGTAGCTGGGACTAGAGGTGTGTACTACCGTGCCTGGCTGCTTTACTGTTTTTTTTTTTTTTTTTTTTTTTTTTTGTACCAGCGTTCGAACTCACTACCTAGTGCTTGCCAGGCAGGAACTTATGCCACTGAGCTAAATTCCCAGTCCCTTTACTGGTACTTTTTGACCAAATGGATAAACAGGTATATTTTGAATCTCTATTATGATTTGGCACCATACTATGCATGCGGATGTGACTGTCATATGCACAGAGTGTGCAATCTTATGGAAGAAAAGATGGGCCATATGCACATAAATAATCACAAAATAACTAGTATCCTAAAACAGAATTTAGTCACAGCAGGCTCAGTCTGTGAGGTTGTGCCATTTGAGCTAAGACCTAAGAAGGGGAGAAGGAGCCAGAGAAGTGCACTACACACACTGAAAGGAGGCAGGGTTGAGCAGTACAACAGGAAATGGAGAGGATGACCAGATGCAGTCCAAACCCAGCTCTCCACAGCAATACCAGCAGCTGACAATACCCAGTGAGTGACAGAACAAGTGCCTGAACAGGTGGGGCGAAAGTGTTTGGGAATCCCAATCCCAGCACTCAACTGGCTAGGGCTGTACAATCTGCCTGTACCTGGCTCCATCCCCTGGGCCAGTCCTGGCGTGGGGCTCTCGGCTCTTTCCACACTCTGTCCATCGGAAGGAGCCAACATGCCATCAGGGCAGTCACTGCTTCTCTTCCTCTGCACATCAGCAGCCATACTTTGGGCTCTCCTGTGGGATGAACCAAAGCATCACAAACAGCAGAGGGAAAGTGCAACTGGTAGAGTCCCTGGCATCATCCCCATTGGGAAGTACAGGAAAGTGTCCCCTTTCCAGGACCCCATCAATGCAAATCTCTGGGGAGGGGTTATGTGTGTTCCTTTCTAAAATAATATGAATTAGCCAGGCGTGGTGCTGCACACCTGTAATCCCAGCACTCTGGAAGGCTGAGGCAGAAAGATTATAATTTATAACCTAGCCTGGGCAACTTAGTGAGACTCTGTATCAATCAATAAATAAATGAATAAACAATAAATACATAATAAAAAATTTAAGAGGTGTTCAGTGTGAAGGCACTGGTTTCAATCCCCAGTACTATTAAACAAACAAACACGTTTTCTTTTCTGATTATGAAAGGAAGATGTTATTTGTTGCCGAAAGCTTGGAAAACTCAGAAAAGTATAAAGAAAAGTCACCATATTCCTCATGTGGTAACCTTTCACCGTGCCTACTTTAGTGTCTTCTAGTTTGTTTCGTACTAAAGATTGAACCCAGGGCTTCACACTGTAGTGGACCTTTATTACATTCTCATCCTTTCATTACTTCATTTTATTTTTGTCTTTCGGAGACAGAGTCTCACTATGTAGTTCAGGGTGTCCTTGAGCTCACTTCGTAGCCCAGGCTGGTCTCAAACTTGTAATACTCTTACTGCCTCGGCCCCCTAAGTGCTGGGCCACACCTGGCCATTTCATTTTAAAAATTTAATTTAATTTAATTTAATTTAATTTAATTTAATTTAATTTGAGATACTCACTAAATTTCCCAGGCTAAGCTTGAATCTTTTTTTTTTCTTTTAATTTTTTCTGAGTTTTGTTTATTTGTTTTCCTCTTTTTGTGATAGGGTCTCACTGTATAGCTTAGGCTGGCCTTGAACTCCCAGCAATACTCCTGGCTCAGTCTTCCAAGTGCTAGGATTATAGGTGCCCAATACTACATCCAATTATATTTTAATTTTTAAGAAAATAAAACACACAAAAATCATACAAACTTAAATCTTTTTAAAATGTATAACAGAGTGTGGTGACATATGCCTGTAATTCCAGCACTTGGAAGGTTGAGGCTGGGAGATCATTGCATGTTCTAGAACAGCCTGGCCTGCAAAGTGAGTTGAAGGCCAGCCTGGATTACATAGTGAGACCCTGTCTCAAAAAAAAAAAAAAGGTATATAAACCAGTGGGATATCACAGGCCTATAATCCCAGCACATAGGAGGCTGAGGCAGGGAGATCACTGTAAATTCAAGGTTACCCTGGACTACATAGTGAATTCAAGAGCAGCCTGAACTATAGAACAAGACCTGTTTCAAAACAAACAAACAAACAAGCAAAGTACATAAAATGCAAAAATTTTTAACAAACTGTTAACAGATGCTAACAGTGTCAGGGCAGCACCCTAAGTGTATGTGGGTTATATTATGTAATCCTGGGGAGTCCCCTGTGAGGCAATCTTGCTAACTGTAGATGAAAGAATGGAAAGAGAGGTTAAGGTGCTCAAAGTTACTACAGGAAGAAAGCACGGATAGGGAACTGTAACTATACCCTGGTGTCTTTCACTTCACATTCTGTCAACACTTTGCCATTCAAAACGGCAGTAATTTTTTAAAATTTTAGTCCTTGCAAAAAAAGAGGTGAGATAGAGCCAACACACTTTTCTTCAGGTCGGAGCTCTGTTTTTCTCCTACTATCCTTTTGTATTTCTTGAATTTGAAAATCATCCAGACCTAATCAAGCCTTCAAATGACTGTAGCCTGATAGATCCTGTGTCTGAACTACCTAGCTAAGCTGTTCCTAAATTTCTGGCTCACGAAAACTGTCAGAGATACAATATGTGATTTTTTGTTTTATTTTATTTATGTATTTATTTTGCCTTTTTGACATAGGGTCTCACTATGCAGTTCAGGCTGGCCTTGAATTCACTTTGTAGCCCAGCCTGGCCTCGAACTTGCAGAAATCTCCCTGCCTCAGCCTCCTGAGTGCTGGAATTAGCCACGTGCACCACAGTATGTAATTGATTTAAAATGCTATTTTTGGGATCATTTGTTACACAGCAATAGCTAAATAGTTTTAATACCAAATTGACTATGAATGGTGGCACACATCTGTAATCACAGCACTTGTGAGGCTGAGGCAGAAGGATCACCATGAGTTTGAGGCAAGTCTGGGCTATAAAAGCAAGTTGAAGGCCAGCCTGCACTACATAGTGGGACTTTATCTCAAAAAAAAAAAAAAAAAAAAAAAAAAAAAAAAGAAATTGACTCAGTCTATCATTTATATAGAAAAAAAATCTACATTTACAAAATAAAACGTAATTTACATTTTAAACAAAGCAATGTGCATTTAAAGTCCCAACATACATTCCAAGTAGAATTGATATAAAATCAGTAGGTGTTGACAAACAGGGCTGACTTGTATCATGGCTGTTGCTCCATGACACTGCATCACATCAAAGCAGCAGCAGGCTGGGGGTGTAGCTTGGCAGTAGAGCACTGGCCTCTCATGCATGAGGACCTGGGTTTGATTTTTGGCACTGGAAAGATGGGGGTGAGGGAAGCAGGGAATGCTTTAAATATTTTATATCCTATTATTATAATTTATTAAGCATCTACTAAACATGTTTTCCTTGTGTTTTAGAAAAATGGGAGATGAGATTTGATGAGAAAAGCATTATACTTTTTCTATTTAAAATGACAGAGCAAAAATAAATGAATAAAAAATAATTAAAATAAAATAAAATGATAGAGCAGGGCCAGGGATATAGCTCAGTGGCTCAAGAGCTTGCTTGGTAAGTGCAAGGTCATAAGTCCAAGGCCAGGTACAAAAAAAAAGAAAGAAAGAAAAAATTAAACAACAGGGCACAGGCTGGGAACGTGGCTCAATGGTAGTGCTTGCCTTGCATGTCCAAGGCCCTGGGTTCAATCCCCAGTACCACAAAAAATAAATAAATAAAAAATAAAAAGGCAGTCCTGGAGGTATAGATCAGTGATGAGTACTTGCCTAGCATGTCAAGGCCATGGTTTTAATCTTAAAAACAAAAACAAACAAACAAAAAATATAACAAACATACAAAAACTTTCTAACACTAAAAATAATAATAATAATCTCAGCCTGGTGGTGCACAACTGTAGTCCCAGGACTTAGGAGTCTGAGGCAGGAAAATAAATGTGCTTTCCAGGTAAGCCAGGGCTACATACTGAGTTCAAAACTAGCCTGAACTATATAGCAAAACCCTGGCTCAAAAAACAAAACAAAACAAAAATTGGAAGTAAACACTAAAGTAGTGATTCCAGACAAAATGGTCAACTTTCATAGAACTGATTACGGATCTTTGTTGTTATTGTTGTTCACTATTTTGTTTTTGAAACAGGGTCTCATCATATAGTTCAGGTTGGCCCTATATGTAGCCCAGGCTGGCTTGGAATTTGCAGCAATCCTCCTGCCTCAGCCGCCCAAATACTGGGATTACAGAGGTATGCCACACCTCGACAGCTTATGGATGTTGGGGCAAATTCTCTATCCAGAATCTGAGCACTTCTCATTGGCTCTGGGATCACATTAGATAATCCACCCTTATCTCATAAGAACCTCCCAACCAGTCTCTCCATTTTTGTCTATGCTCCTGCACAGTATGTCCTTCTTACAGCTCACAAAGTGTATTGAAACAGAAATCAGGTCATGTAATTCCTCTATTCACAACTCTGTAACGTCCCAATTCACTTAGCAAGAAAGCTGATTTTCTCACAGAGAGGTACAAGGTCTTAATCTACCTTTCTTCTTTCGAGTGTGGTTGTGTGTGTGTGTGTGGCACAGAGGTCTAAACCCATGGCCTTTGCGCTGAGTGACATCTCCAGCCAACTCCTCTCTTTTTCTCTCTTTTTTTTTTTTTTTTTTTGAGACAAGAGTCTTGCCACGTAGTTCAGGCTGGCCTATGAACTATGTAGCCCAGGCTGCCTCGAACTCTCGGCAATCTCAATCTTCTGAATGCTGCATTTACAGGTATGTACCACCATGCCTGCTGGGCCCCCAAGACAAGGTCTCACTATGTAATTTAGGCTGGACATGAATCACTCTAGTACAGCTTGGCCCCAAATTCATGGTGATCCTCCTGCCTCAGCCTCCCAAGTGCTGGAATTACAACCATGCACCATGCCCAGCTCCCCCCCACACACACTTTTTTTTTCTAAATTTTGAGACAGTTTCACCAAGCTTCCAAGTTACTAACAGTGGGTTTGAATTTACAATCCTTCCTCATGGGGCATAGTGGCACATGCCTGTAGTCCCAGTACTCTTGAGTCTGATGTAGAAGGATTGCAGCATGTTCGAGGTCAGCCTGAGCTACATAGTGAGCTGAAGGTCAGGCTGCACTATATACTGAGACCCTGTCTCAAATTAAAAAAAAAAAAAGTTCTTCTTCCTCAACCTCCCAAAGCACTAGGATTATAGGATGGGCCACCACTACTGTGCCTGGCTCTCCTTTCACCTCATTTCCAATTCTTTCTCCCCACTAATTCTGCCTCAGGCCAGTTACATGGGCCTAACAGCTTTCCCTAAGTATCCTGAATGCTCCTTTCCTTCCAGCCCTGCCCTTGCTGAATGTCCCCCTGGGCCTCACACCACACATTTTTCTGGCTGGGCCAGTGCATGCCTTCCTCCCTCATTTCCTCTAGTTTGTTCCTCAAATGCTACCTTATCAAAGAGGCCTTCCAGAAAGGCCTCTGGTTTACTTCTCTGGGCTGAAAGTCATTCTGTGTCCTGCTACAAATTTCAGCCCATCAGGGATGTAGGACTAGTCCCATCACCATTTGCCCAACAAAATCTTTGGCAGAGAGAGAGTGACAGATCTGTGATAAACTCCCAGCTCTAGTGCACTTATAATGAGGAAAGAAAATCCTGCCCATGAAGACTTGTCTTTGGTGGTAGTCAAGTATTTAGGAACAACGCCTCTGTAGTCAGGTAGACTTGGTTTTACTGATCTTAGGTTTCTCATCTATAAATTAGAATTAATGATAGTACTGATTCAATGGATTGTAGGAGAATAAATGAGGTAATACATGTGATTTGATTACCATGGTACAAAGCAGGTACCATAAATACATATTGTTTTTGTTTTGTTTTGATTTGGTTTGGTGGTTTGGAGATGGGAGATGGGGTCTCACTATATAGTTCAGGTAGTCCTGGAACTCACTATGTAGCCTAGGTGGGCCTCTGAGTCGCAGCAGTCCTCCTGCTTCAGCCTCCCAAGTTTTGGGATTACAGGTATGGGCTGCCATACTTACGTAGTACTCAGACCACCTAACAGTACTTTGAGATCCAGTGGTCTCTGTCATGTCAATCAGTCTTCTGAGAGTTTGCTCTACTGAAACAGATCCTGGATGATTGGCTTGGCATTTGTTTGTGACCTTCAGCTCTAGCTGAAGAGATCTACCTATGATATCAGGCTAAAAGAACTGTCCATGGGCCTCAGGCTGGGAGTACCACCAGGTTATCTGGCTGTTCACAGGAATTTTAGAAACAGAGCACTAGCTCTCTGCTACTCCTAGAAGTCTCTCCTAAGTTTAATTCCTTGATCTGCAAAATGTCCCTGCTCTGTGGCCTTGCACTTCTGGGTCAAAGATCCAAAGGAAAGACACAGTGGTACACATGTATTATCCCAACTACTGAAGATGGTTTGGCAGGAAGGCCAAAAATTCAAGGTCAGTCAGGGCAACTTAGTGAAACTGTCTCAAAAAATAAAAAGAGGTGGGGATATAACTCAGTGGTAAAGTGCCCCTAGGTCCAATCCCTAGTACCACAAGCAAAAACCAAAACAAAACAAAATCCAAATAAGATCTATAGAAGCTTGATCCCTAATTAATTTCAGCAGACTGAGTCTAGGTGTGTCTGAGTATATCCAACCCAGTACCTCCATGGGAAAGTTTAGGTGTCTACGGCTAGTGGATGCTTCTTTTACAATTCCCTTGCTATGGGAGATCTCAGCATCTCAGCCTCTTCAGTGTTAGTCTAGACTCCTGCCAGAAGGCCTGAAGAAGCAAACAGCTTTCCGGATACCCTAGAAACCCAGGCAGGAGGGCTGAGTGTATCATAGCAAAGTCTACTCTAATCCCTACTGGAACTTCAACCTGTATAGCTGAAGCTCCTTGGAGCTCTGAAGCAGGAAGGGAGGTCTCTCCAAACAAGCCCTGCATGCCTCTATGGGTATCCTTTTCAGGTACTCTTTTCTAGATGCCTTCAGCACTTACTACTTTCCTATACGTACCCAGCAGGGCTTGAGGCAATGTCACTAAACAGGCAGGCACAATCAGCCCGTCTAGTGTGTCTCCTCTCTCAGGTGGCCCTGGAGTAGGCAGGTCCTTGCAAAAGTTCCTCCCTACCAGTTCCTAACTATCTTGCTTCCTCTTCCTGCTTAAATAGTGCCTTCACCCTGCCTTAACCATTTGGGGAATGGGTCATCAGGAGGACAGTTCCAGGATACACAGTGTTTGACAGGACAGGAGCCAGGTGAGGTTGTGCTGTGGTTGGTCCAATAGAGTGCCTACTCTCTGATGAAAGCCTAGCATAGTTCTTGTGACTTCTGGCGAAGGCTGGTCTCACTTTTCAAGCAAACTTGAACCTAGAAAGGGACAACTCAGTTATCTAAACCAGGTTACAGTCCAGAACAAAATTCCAAGTCTCATGATCCTTCCGAGGGCTGCCTGTCTCACTCTCCAGCAGCTCTGTCACTTTTTAAGAGGACTCTAAAGATCGAGCATGTGGGCATTGAAGGGGATGGATCTGACCTAACACCTACCTCCTACCGAATCTTGACCATCCACCTGGCCAAAAGTGGGTTCTAGGCCTCATTTTTTGGATTTTCCAGCTGGAGGGCCAGCCGGCTGGGGATCACCAGGGAGATCCAGGCCTCCTATTGCAAATGGTGCTGTAGGTAACAGGGACCCCAAGTCATCAAGCCCCTCCCTCCAAGGATGACAGCTTTCCTGACTATCCGAGCTCTCAGGCCACGTGGGTGGGAAGTCGGACTCACCTATTTCTTTGGGGGGAACACCGGGCGTACCGGGGAGTGCCAGTCACTGTCCTCTGCCAGACCCCCGGGGAGACATGGGTGTCCGACCGGCTTTGGCCAGAGGGCGAAGGTTTGCGGGGCCCCGGTCCTTTGCGGACACAGACATGGCCACAGTGCAGGTACCGACTCCTCCTACCGGCCCTCGCCCGGCCGCGACATAGGAAGACAGCTATCGGTGCTCTAGCTGAGCTCAGGCCCAGCTCCGGTCCCACGGCCCGACCCAGCCCGCCCCCGGGGTGCATTGTGGGAGATGTAGTCACCGCTCCCCTCCGCAGGCGGCGCTGTGGGACCGTCTGGCTGCGGGGCCTCTCGGAGCCGGGGCGGGCCTGGCCCAGGTCCTGTGACCTCCTGGGCTCCGTTACCAGGGGGCCCAAAACCTGCGCTGGCCGCAGACCCGGACTCTGGACCCTGTGTCTAAACCAGCTGGAGAGTTATTTCAAGGGACAGAAAGGAACATCGGTGTCATTTCCCCACCGATTGCGGAAGAAGTACAAAACTGGGCTTGGAGAAATGTCACCAGTAGGCGCAGCCATAGATTGTAAACAATGTGGGTATGCGCATAAGCCCCACTAACTAGGCTAAAAAGTCTTCACCTCACTTTAATATATCAGTATGAAGTTGTGACTAAATATAAAACGATGTGGGGAGCTTCAAAAAACACTAATTCCCTAGAAGTTTTGATTTAATTAGACGGACGTAGGGAATCAAGCATCAGTATTACTTAAAGTTCCTCATAGTAGGAAAAAAAGTTTTCCAGGTGATTTGCCAGGGAAGAAACACTGTAATTTCCTAGATGCAAAGCAATAAAAACAACAGGAAACATAAGACTTCCTCCAACAGCCCTTATTTTTGGAGAACAGTTTCAAAGTAAGTAAAATTGGGGATAGACAATATTAGACATGTTTTTCTGAAGCAATTGACTTGCTTTATAGTTTCATGTTTAAGTCTCCCAACAACTCTGGGACGAAGGAAAAAAGTACAGATCACACCTTTGAGCCAGGTCATGGTGGCACATATCTGCAATCCTAGTACTCCTGTGGCTGAGGAGAATTAACAAGAGCTCGAGGATAGCCTAAACAACATAAACAACAACATAAATAAAAACAATAAACAACCCCAAACAAAACAAATCATACCTCTGACTTCCTGCTGCCCCAACAACCACCTGAGGCTATCTTCTGCACTTATTTCAGCTTTATGCTCAACCTGGGCTTTTCCTCACAATCTCAGATGGAGCCCGCTATACCATGCTGGCATGTGACTGATGTGGTGAGAATACATTGGCGTTTTACGGGAGATGGCTTTACATAAGGCCATCAAGTCCTTCTCTTGTGTAGTTTAAGGGAAGCATCTCCTGTGAGAATATGCCATTTCTTAACTGTTCTTTCTCTTGGAATGGAAAGTAGAGGAGGTAAGAGGATCCTCTTCAGATCTCCACAGGTTACTCAGTATTTTCTCTCTCCAAAGCCCAGGACTGTAGGTTCCTTTCTTTGGGGCGTTTATCATTTATGCAGCTTTGTTCTTGTTTATTGCATTATAAGACTTTAAAGCAGTTCCCTTCATAAAAGCACAAGTTAAAAAAAGATTTTACATTCTCAGGGCTGTGGTGTAGCAGAGTGATATAGTCCTTGCCTAGCATGTGCAAGTTCAATTCCCAGTATTGGGAAAAAAAAACAAAGATCTCACTCATATTCTCTGATTGGAACAGAAATATACTGGTTCCATTTTCATTAACCAAAAGTTACACTCCATGGAATTCATTTCCATAGATAAAAGTTTAAAAATTTTCTACCTCACCGGTCTCCTTGATGATCTCCATGTGGATCTCCAGCTTTCTTCTAGAATCTTACACTCACTTTTAGGCGCATCAGATCTTCCAGACAGTAGTACCATATTCTGGAAGTATATCTTCTTAGGTAAGCAATAGCCATATGTCCCATGTGCTTCTGGTTAAGACTTGTGTGTAAACTGAGGATTTAGCTCAGTAGCATGAGCACCTGCCTGTGTAAATATAAGGTCTTGAGTTCGATTCCCAATACCACAAAAAGACTTGTGTTTATAATACTCTCACAGTACAAACCAGTGGATACTACCAAACCATTTCAAAGAGCTAGGTATGGTGGTGCATGTCTGGACCAGGACACTGAGTCTGGAAGATCCCAGATTTTAGCTCAGTCTGGGCATTTTAGCAAGATCCTGTCTCAGAAAGGGGGATGTAGTTCAGTCCAAAGGCTTCGGTACTTTAAGAAACAACAACAAACCCTCCCATCCATTCCAGTTTATAAAGACCCTACTTTTACCTTGGATTTTAACACAATTAACAAGCTGCACAGCACTTCCTGTTACCTTCAGGTGCAAATTTTTTTTTAAAGGTTTTTTGTTTTGTTTTGTTTTTTGTTTTTTGTTTTTGGTATGGGGGATCAAACTCACCACTATGCGCTTGCCAGACAGGCGCTTTTGCCACTGAGCTAAATCCCCAGCTCCAGGTGCAATTCTTAAAGCCCCAGCTCTTCAGTTTGTCTGAGTTTGTAATTTTTGTGGACTCATTGTGTCATCCTCACAACAGCAACAGGATAGACTTGCTGGGGCTAGAGCAAGTGTAATAATTCGACCTGTTCTTCTCCAGATTGCTTTAGTGGAGATTTCAGAACCTAAGATACTGGCATGGTTGTGGCTTAAGTGTATTCTGAGACTAGAATCTTTTCTCAGACTTGTTACTATCTGCCTTCTGTGGCTTGGGGAAAATCCTTTAGTGACTGCATCAGCATCTTCTGAAGTGCTTCTCTTATAGGAATACAAGACACAAAATATGAAGTTCTGAGCTAATAAGGATAGCTAGTCCTCTGAAATTTTCCTACCATATGGTGTTGAAGATTGAGCCCAAGACATTGCATGTGCTAGGTGGGTGCTCTGAGTTAACTACTGAGTTGCACCCCAGTACCCTCTTCACTGGAATTTATTTTATTTATTTATTTATTTATTTATTTTTGTACTGGGCATTGAACTTACAACCTCACATTTGCCAAGCAGGGACTTATACGGCTGAGCTAAACTCCCGGCCGTTCTTCACTGGAATTTGTTTTGTTTTGTTGTTTTTTGAGATAAGGTCTCCCTATTTAGTTCAGGCTAGCTTAGAATTTGAGGTGCTCCTCCTGCCTTAGCCTCCCAAAGCTCAGATTACAGGGGTGTGCCACCATGCCTAGATTTCTTTGAATTTTTGAAGAGGGTTTTTTCTATCTTTTATCATTGTAACACCTGGTAAAGAAATCAGTTTTCCTGCTGTACTGCAAAATTTCCCCATGCTCTTGTATCATATGAATTTCTACTGATTCCTTGTCTCTTGTTTTTACATTTGATTAAGTTTCTTTTTCAGATTTTGGAGAGCCATGGTCACAAATCAGACCAAGACAATAGGGAACAATAGAATAAGGATAGCATATTTGTCTTTGCTGAATCCCCTCTTGTGCTACACTTGACAGCTCTTCTGTTTACTTTTTTTTTTTTTTTTTTTTTAATTTTGAGACAGGCTTTAGTAAGTCACTAAGTTGCCCAGGTTGGGTCTCTCTCTTTTCTTTCTCTCTCTCTGCCTCAATAAATATATTTTGTGTGTTTGTTTGTTTTGAGACAGGATCTTGTAAGTAGTTCAGGCTGGGGGAACTCATTAGTAGCCTATTCTGGCCTCAAACTTATGGTGATCTTCCTACCTCAGGCTTCCTGAGTACTTAGATTACAGGCATCTGCTACCAATCCCATCTGCTGCCACTCCCCTCTCTCCCTGCTTCCTTCTGTTCTCCCTTCTTTTCCAGCTTCTGTCTTCAGTTATAGTTATACCCTTATTCCCTATCAAGGGCCATGGCTTTAAATACTTGTGATGTAATGATACCTCCCAGAATTATGTCTCTTAGCATTATCTTTATCTTGAACTCCAAACCCAAGAATCCAACTGCCAAGTCTACATCTCACTTATTTCCTTGGCCTCAAAAAATTAAGCTACCCAAAACTGAGCTCCTATTCTTTTTTTTTTTTTTTTGTCTTTTTCATTTTTACTGGTACTGGGGATCAAACTCACGACTGCCTCCTTACAAGGCAGGCACTTATGCCACTGAGCTAAATCTCCAGCCCCATGAGCTCCTATTCTTTCTACCACACCTGCACCTTCTGCATTCTTCTTGGACTTCCTTATTCCAGGCAATATGTCTCCTATTTCTATGGTGGCTGTACTGATACTAGCACCATCCTCTATGTCGAGAATATTGCAGCAACTTCTTATTGGTTGTCTTGCTTCTGTTCTTTCTCATCTTCAATCTATTTTCAACAAAACAGCCAGAGGAATCCTGTAAACATGGAATTTAGCTCATGATATTCTTCTATTTAGAGTCCTCAAATAACTTTCCATCTCCTTTCTCACAGAAACCAAACTTATCTCAGCAACCTGTAAGACATGGGAGGAGATTTTCTCTTCCCATGCTTATCCCCCACAACTCAGTTCCAGGCTCCCTACTGGTTCTGGAAAATTTCAGGTGTGCCCACACATGACAGCCTTTGTCCTTGCTGTTTTTTCTGCCCAGAACACTAGATATTCTACTAGCTTGGTTGTTAATCTTTGGATCAAGACATCAATGACAGGGGCTGGGGATTTAGCTCAGCAGCTTAAGCGCCTGCCTTGCAAGCATGCAGTGGTGAGTTTGATCCCTGGTACCGATTAAAAAAAAAAAAGATATCAATGGCAGTTCAATTTAAAGTTACAGTTGCCCCCATCCAACATCCTTCTTTTTTTTTTTTTTTTTTTTTTCTTTCTTGAGACAGGGTCTTACTATGCAATTCAGAGTAGGCTTGAACTCACTTTGTGGTCCAGGCTGGCCTTGCACTCACAGCAGTTCGGCCTCAGCCTCCCAAGTGGTGGGATTATGGGCAAGTGCCACTATGCTTGGCTTCCCTATCCTTTTTAAAAAAGTTTATTTGGCTTTTTGAAACAGGGTCTATGAAGTCTAGGGTGGCCCTCAACACACTATGTAGACCAGGCTGGCCTTGAATTTGTAGTGATTCTCCTGCTTCCTGAGCCTCCTGAGTTCTGAAACTGTCAGCCTGAACAACTCCACCTGACTCCTTCCCCTTATTTATTTCCACAACATTTATTACTACTGGAGAGATTGTAGACTGTATCTTATTCAGTTGGTCTGTGTCCCACAACCATCCTACCTCCTTTTCTACTAGGGCAACAATGTATTATC